TGTTCTTAAGAACTTTTTTTTGGTTTGTTATGGTTATAGTACAGAATAAAATATTAAAGAATCTTTGCTTTTGTTTTATACTTTATTACCATATAAGTATATGTACCTTTAACATGCATTATCTCAGCAAAAATGTATACCGTCCATTACTGTTTCATAAATAATTAAAGCAGAGTAATTACATGAGTCCATCAAAGTATCTTGTTGTTGTTGTTCAGTCGCACAGTCGAGTCCGACTCTTCGTGACCCCATGGACCAGATCACGCCAGGCCCTCCTGTTTTCCGCCATCCTCTGAAGTTTGCTCAATTTCATGTTCGTTGCATCGATGACACTGTCTAACCATCTCATCCTTTGCCGTCCCCGTCTTCTTTGACCTTCAATCTTTCCCAGCATCAGGGTCTTCTCCAGGGAGTGCTCCCTTCTCATTGGGTGGCCAAAGTATTTGAGCTTCAGTTTCATTATCTGGCCTTCCAGGGAACAGTCAGGGTTGATTTCTTTTAGGATTGACTGATTTGATCTCAAATATAATTTATACTCAAATATAAAAAGTAGGGATGGGCATGAATTGAATTATAAACCAAAATTCCTGATGAACCGAGCCCGTTTCATCATTCATGAACCGAGGTTCATGTGATTCCGCCGTCACGGACCTCCCGTGAACCTCCCAGGTGGCTTTGGGAGTTTTAAGTGGTTCATGTTGGTGGTGGCATGATTTACTTACTTATTTATTTATTCAATTTGTATCCCGCCCTCCCTGCAAACGGCTTGCAAAGGGCATTTAAAGGGATACCTTTAAATGAGTTTTGCAAGTGGCACAGCAGTAGCAGCAGGACTCGCAAGTGAACGCAGAAGGCAATGCCAGAAGGTGAAGGTGGAGGTGATGTGGCCTGCAAAAGCCTTTTAAAAATCCCCTAAAATGGCTTATTCACTACCCAAAGGAGTCTCAGAGCGGCTTACAAACTCCTTCCCCTTCCCCTCCCCTCAACAGACACCCTGTGAGGTAAGTGGGGCTGAGAGAGCTCTGACAGAAACTGCTCTTTTTCAAGGACAGCTCTTATCAGAACTACGGCTTGCCCAAGGTCATCCAGCCAGGTGCAAGTGGAAGAGTGGGGAATCAAACCTGGTTCTCCCAGATTAGAGTCCGCGCACTTAACCACTACACCAAACTGGCAAAATTATGCAGAGATAGAGACGGTGGAGAAAGAAGTACTCCCCACAGTACATCACGAATCACGAACCAGTTCATTAAACAAGAAGGTTCATGGAGGTTTGTGGTACATTGTTTGGAAGACCCCACGAACAACCTTCACAAACCTTCATTTTCCTGGTTCGGGCCTACGTCTAGTCACAAACAAGCAGCTCCTTCTAAGAAGAACAACCCCAATAAATTCAATTTCCCATAATTACACGTTTTTAAAATCATCTCTTAATGGCTAGCTGTCTCACTTGATAAAGAGGCACATTCTTGGCTAACTAGTTATCTTATAACCTCAAACACCATGCAAGTTTATATTTAAATTGTTTTAGAATGTTGGACTGGATGGGCTATTGGTCTGACCCAACATGGCTTCTCTTGTGTCCTTACAGATTCAAAGAATCACAGAGTTGGAAGGGGCCACACAGGCCACCTAGTCCAACCCAATGCAGAATCATCCTAGAACATCCCTGACAAGTGTTTGTCCAGCCGCTGCTTGAAGACTGCCAGTGAGGGGGAGCCCACCACCTCCAGAGGCAGCTGATTCCAGAGTTCCACAACTCCTACTGTAAAAAAAGTTTTTCCTAAGATCCAGAAGGATTACAAAAGGGCCCTGCTAGAGTTTGAATCTCTCTCTTCCCAATTGCAGTGGTGTGATTCCCCTTCAAAGGATGCCAGGGACTGTCTGCAGAAGGAGATTTCATTTTTAAAAAAGACTTTGCAACAGAATGTGTCCTAACCGTACAGGTCTTCTTTGTGCATTTTACAATGGAAAACCACAGCTTAATCTAGGAATGGCATCATACCCGGCTTTCACCTGGGGTTTCCCCCGCAGAGTCTTCTTCCTCCTTGAAAACCTTCTGGAGGATCATCTTCAAGCTCTCCCAACGTCTGGACTTCCATTGCCTCCCAACCAGGAAGTAAATGAATGGGTTTACACCGCTATTTAAACCAGCTGATAGAAGCGCAATAGCTGACATGTATCCTGGTAAATAGCCAAGTTTAGCGAGCATGTACGTGACATTCAATGGAAACGCAAAGAGAAGGAAGAAGAGAACAGTGAGCAAGACGATGGTCAAAAGCCTTCCCCTCTGACGCTGCCGTGTTTTCAAACAGACTTTGATGAACAGGGACACAGTGGCAATCGTCATGATTGGGAGGCAAATCACGGAGTTCAAAATCAACTGGAAAAATTCTTCAAGTTTTGATTCATATGGATGTAGACCGCTGAGATAGCAGGTAATTGCACTAAGCAAGACAGAGACGACCCATATTAGTGCACATACGATGGGGGACAAATGCGGTGGCCGGTGGAATCGATGCCAAAGTGGGAAGAAGACGGTCACGCATCTGTCAATGCTGATAGCCGTCAGGAGAAATTGACTAGCGCTGTACAAGGATAGGAACAGGAAAACAAACACAAGCATGGCAGGAATAGAAATAAATGATATTTCTGGTTTTAGAATAAATATTCTTCTGTGAGGCATAATTGATAGGAGGACCCCAAAATCAGCCACAGCCAAGTTCAGGATGTAGGTGCTGAAAGGATTCCTCTTGATGCGGAAGCCGAGAAGCCAGATGACAATCCCGTTCCCCACGGCTCCGAAAATGGAGATGACCAATCCAGTGATAGAAATGACTTCTACAACAGTATCTCTAAAGTTATCGGAACGCTCTTCTCCACATGGGGAAGAACAGTTAGTATAATTAGGGTTATGAGAACGATCCAGGACGTCGTCCATAATAGGAAGGGTTGTCAGGCTGATATTGGTCATGCTGCTCGATTTCTTCTTTTGGGATTTGGGTCTTGACTTGTCTTCACATCTCTGTTAGGAGAAAGGAAACAAGGGATGATTCAAACCTTTTGCAAATGAACAGCTAAAGCTTTCAGGCTGACTTCACCCGATTTGAGAATGGGCTACCGGTGAGGTTAATTTCATAGCATCACAGAGTTGGAAGGAACCATAGGAGCCATCTAGCCCAACCCCCTGGTCAATGCAGAGTCTGCCTCTAAAGGTTCCCTGTCAGTAACTGGATGAAGCCTAAGAAAGAACATAAGAACATAAGAGACGCCAATGTTGGATCAGGCCAAAGGCCCATCCAGTCCAACACTCTGTTTCACACAGTGGCCAAAAATACCAGGTGCCATCAGGAGGTCCACCAGTGGGGCCAGGACATTAGAAGCCCTCCCACTGTTGACCCCCCCCAGCACCAAGAAGACAGAGGATCACTTGCCCCAGAGCCCCTATCTATACCTTGTGGCTAATAGCAACTGATGGACCTCTGCTCCATATGCTTATTTAATTCTCTCTTGAAGCAGTCCATGCTTACAAGAAACAACACAAATGCAGAAACATATAATAACAAAGGTGTAGAAAAGTAAAGTCCCAAAAATTTCAATGTGTCTCACTCCTGTTATATAATAAGGACCCATGATCCTTTGTGATTGATTAAATTGATCTCTGCATGTGTTACTGCTGAGATTTGGTCCCACTATAGCCTCTTGGATTTGAAAAAGAATGATTCAAAACGCGGCAGCTTGCATCCGGACTACGCATCGCTCATGGCTTATGGATTTCTAGATTATTTGGTTCCTCCTGGAACTATATGAGTCCACTCCCTGATGAATGCATGTCAAGTCGGACTATGAAATTATTATACAACAGGAGTGAGGCACGTTGAAATTTTTGGGACTTTACTTCTTTGTACTAGCAGTTTGAAAGCAAGAAATTGCAAGTAGATAAATAGGTACCACTTCGGTGGGAAGGTAACAGCGTTCCGTGCGCCTTGGTGTTTAGTCATGTCGGCCACATGACCACGGAAACGTCTTCGGACAGCGCTGGCTCTTCGGCTTTGAAACGGAGATGAGCACCACAACCCTAGAGTCGGATTCGACTGGCTTTCGAGAAAGGGAACCTTTACCTTTACCTTACTATTGTGATTATATTTTTTTCTGTATTTGTGTTGATTCTTGTAAGAATACATAGGCTTCATCCAGTTACTGACAGTGAATGTGGCATTAAAAAAATATCAACCAGCGATCTCTTGTGTTTTATACTAATTCTTGTACGCTGGTTCCTCTCCTTTTTTGGTTTCTAAAGCATCCCTGACAAGCGTTCGTCCAGGTGCTGCTTGAAGACTGCCCATGAGGGGGAGCTTACCACCTCGCAAGGCCACCAACTCCACTGCAGAACTACTCTTACTTTATATCCCCCCAATATCCATCCAGTACCTTACCGTCCATTATTCAAACCTGTGATTGCAAGTCTTCTCCTCTGCTGTCAACAGGAACAGCTCCCTGCCCTCTAAGTGACAGCCCATCAAATACTTCAAGAGAGAAATCCTGTCCCCCCTCAACCTCCTCTTCTGCAGACAGAACATTCCCAAGTCCCCTAGCCTTTCCTCACAGGGCTCGGTCTCCAGGCCCTCATCATACTCTTCTCTCTCCTCTGCCCCCTTCCCATTCTGTCCACATCCTGTTTGAAGCGAGGCCTCCAGAACTGCACACAGTACTCAGAGTGGCTTACGAACTCCTTTCCCTTCCCCCTCCCCACAACAGACACCCTGTGAGGTAGGTGGGACTGAGAGAGCTCTTGACAGAAACTGTTCTTTTTTCAAGAACAGCTGTGCCAGAGTTATGGCTTGCTCAAGGTCATCCAGCCAGGTGCAAGTGGAGGAGTGGGGAATCAAACCCGGTTCTCCCAGATTAGAGTCTGCGTACTTAACCACGACACCAAACTGAGCGGTCTTGTGCATGCTGCTCTGAGCGGAAAAGACCTCCCGGCCTCGGGAGTGAGAGGAGGAGCCAAGGGAAACAGGGGTGCTGATGTCACAGCCACGCATCTGAACTGCTGCCGGGCAGGGAGGCAGAGGGAGTGTCAGGGCAGGTGGGGGACAGCAACGTCCCTTCTCCCCCCACTTCTTCTCAGCCTGTAAGAGAAAAGGGTTCACGGGAGGACAAAAAGCACCCCCTGGAGGTTTTAGAAACAGCCTCTCCGTCAGGCCTTCCCGCAGCCTCACCGCTTCTGTGGGAACTGCAGGAGGGATGAGAACTGGGGGTGGGGGGATCTGGGAGAGCCTGGTTCAGACCCCCTTCCCCCTGAGCCAAGATCCTGCCATCTGGGTCACCCAGGGCCAGTCGTTCAGCCTGGTCCACCTCACAGGGTTCTTTTGTGGTGGTGGTAGTCAGGGGTCATTTTGTAGAAAAAGACGTGCAGGAGCTCATTAGGAAAGCTCATTAGCATAACATATTTGCATATGCCACACCCCCTGACATCACCGGAAGTGTGTCAGAAGGCAACACCCACCGTTCAGGCTCCACTGGACTGTTTTGGATTGCTAGCTATTGGGGGGGTGGAACATGCAGATCCGTCCTCACAGAGAAGGAAGAGCTTGTGCCTGAATAAAACCTGGTCTTAAAGGTGCCACTGGACTGTTTTGGACCGGGGGGGTCAGGGGGAGCTCTGCAACTTACCTGGATGCTTCTTGCTCTGACCGAGGGCTGCTGGGAGCAGGGGGTGGGGCTTGTTGCATGTGCCCGCCCCCTGGACTCTTTACTGCCGGAGCTCCGCTCCTGTGTGCTCCTGCAGGAAATGACCCCTGGTGGTAGTAGGGATGGTGTGATGGGGAGGTCTGGTATGCCTCCTCCAGATCCTCAGTGGTGGAACGGGGGAAGAGCAGAAACAAAGAGTGAGGGATGGATCAGCTGCTGAGGCTGGGTGTATTGGGCGGGGGCTGAAAAACTACCTTATTTCCTTGCAAGGCCGATGACTCATCTCCTAAAAAACAGAAGTGTAAGATATCCCCCCCCCTTTACGGTAATCCTTGGGGGGGAAAACCTTCATCTTGCATATGATGAAATATAGTTATTGAGGTTTCTGTGGGTTCTACAGCAAACCAAGTGCTTTCTCTGCTAGGAATCAATTGCTTTTGTTTGGATTTTGAGTCAAAAAATAACATTGCTAGTTGGGTTTGCCTGTGTCCCAACAAACTGTTGTAAAATAGTAAAAAAATTGTTTAATAGACTATTTGATGGATCTTGCTCTATTGGAAAGAAGAGAGTTCTTTGCTTTTAAAAATACTTTATTCTAAGGGAAAAGGGTTCACGGGATTGCTACAAATCAACATAACACTAAGAGCTACATTTCTATGCCGCCTACAGACAAAACAAGCACACACGTAATGGAGAAATTCTCTCCTTCTTCTTGACCCCTAGAAAGGAAGTCACCTGAAACAAATGACCAATCTGCATCAAAGTAGAAGTTACTTTTCCCGGGCTAATTCCCCATTGGCTCAGTGCCAGGTATCCCTTCCAGGTCAGTCTAAACAATAGCAAACTAGGAATACAAGTTAACCCCATAATGACTGAATCAGACTTTGTAAACACATACATTTCCAACACAAACATCCATGGCAGCATGGGGATTTGAATCTAAGTCTCCCAAATGCTAGTCCGATGCCCTAGTCAGTAAGCCATGAGTACTCCGCAGTGAAGAAGCCATCCTTTGTTGCATGAACATAGCATGAGAAGGTAAGAAGAGCTCTGCTGGATCAGACCAATGGTCCTTCTTGTCAGGCATCCTGTTTCACACGGTGGCCAACCAGTTCCTCTGGAAAGCCAACAAAATGGCACAGAGGCCGAGGCCCTCACAAGAACAAGAGCCCTGCTGGATCAGACCAATGGTCCAGTTCCTCTGGACAGAAAACAACATGGCATAGAGGCCAAGGCCTTCACAAGAACAAGAAGAGCCCGACTGGATCAGACTAATGGTCCATCTAGTCCAGCATCCTGTTTCAAAAAGTGCCCAACTAGTTCCTCTGGAAAGCCAACAAAATGGCACAGAGCCCGAGGTCTTCCATCTAGTCCAGCAAGCTGTCTCACACATTGGCCAACCAGTTCCTCTGGATAGCCAACAACATGGCAGAGAGGCTGAGGCCATCTCCTGATGTTGCACAAGGTGGCTCCTTATCGTTGCATGATACCATTAATCATCACAGAGAAATGGAGTTTAGAACAGGGGACAATGGTAGCCTTGAACTCCAATGAGCTAGAGAGTCTTTCACATCACACATGACAAGTATGTCTCTTCCTGCCACGAGACAAGCTGTGAGCCACATTCCATCTACTGAGATACCCTGTTGACTAATGATAGTTAGAGCAAGTGCTTTTTGACAGAATGGTTCTTGTGGGGGATTTTTCCTCTAAGGTCACTGTGACTCCACAGGGATAAAAGCAACGGTCTCTGGAACACTGATCTTACTGCCATCAATGGTGTGCAGCTTTTGCTGGAAGATTCCATGTTTGGGAGTCATGCTGGATCCCGGTCTAGTGTCAGAGAAAGAGGTGTCTGTGACAGTGAAAAATGCTTTCTTTCCAGCTACATCTAGTTAGGAAACTGTCCCTCCCTCTCTGCAGGACTCTTATCTGGCCATGCTGATCCATGCCTCAAGGCTAGATTACTGCATCAGACTATGTGAAGACTGGCAACTGCAGCTGGAGTCAAATGCAGCAGCTCCTCTGTGACCTAGAGCTAGCCAGTGGGACCATTGTACTCCTATCCTGATGTCTCTTCAGTGGCTGCTGAATAGTTTCTGGATCCAATTAAAGCCTTTCATGACTTGGGGGTCCATATACTTGAAGAACTGCCTCTCCCAGTCTGTTCCCATGAAGCTCCTCCAAGTTGTGTTATCATTCCCCCCCATATAGAACCTACAATCAAGTATACACTGCTTGTGGATTGTACAGGTATTCCATGTGGCCTCTGAACAACGATTT